CGACCAGGGGCCCTTCTGGAGCCACCATGGAGCATTTCTTGGAAAGAAACTCCTTGTTTCTTTAACTTTCCACCCCCTCCTTCTTCCTTGAAATGTTCACTTTAATGGCTCTAGCACCACATAAAACTCATGTACCCACCAGTGAACAAATTGTTCAGAGAACGTTGTCAGGAATCAGAGAGAAGGCAGGAAGATCTTAGGGATTAGTTGTAAAAACGCATGGGATTTCTCTATTTGTGATACAGGGAGACTGTTGGAAGAAAGGGAAGAGGGAGGCTGGGTGTCCAGTTACCTAGGGTGAGGGCTCCTTCCTTCTAGAGGGATATTCAGAGAGAGAAGAAAAGAAAAGTCAGTAGAGAAAAAAGAGAAGATCAGAAGGCAGTTGCTAGAAGACCGTGTAGTTGGAGACTCATTTGACATGAGAAAATAATGATTGGGCTTCCCTGGGGGTTCAGACGGTAAAGAATCTGCCTGCAAACCAAGAGACTACGTTGGATCCCTGGATTGGGAAGATCTCCTGGAGAAGGAAATGGCAACCGTTCCAGTATTCTTGCCTGGAAAATCCCATAGACAGAGGAGCTTGGTAGGCTACAGTCCCTGGGGTTGCAAAAAGTTGGACATGACTGAGTGACTAACACTTTCACATTAACAAGCATTCAATAATGATTGGATTGTTAAACATTAGGAAGTGAACATGGAATTCAGTCTACTATGGATAGCCCAGGTATAATTACTGTTGTCCTATATGATTTATAATTCAGATGATAAATCACAGGTTTACCCTATACATTGTTTTTTTTCAGGAAGCCCATGATAAGTAACTGCTTTAATGAATGCATTTTTTATTGAATTAAAGGAAATATTGGCTCAATTTTTTCTTTTCTCAAACATCGGGAAGTTTTGTTATTCCATGAAGAGATTCAAAGTATCAGTCCAGTTCAGCCAGTCAGTCATATCCAACTCTTTGCGACCCCATGGACTGCAGCACACCAGGCCTCCCTGTCCATCACCAGCTCCTGGAGCTTGTTCAAACTCATGTCCATTGAGTCACTGACGCCATCCAACCATCTCACCCTCTGTCATCTCCTTCTCCTCCTGCCCTCAATCTTTCCCAGCATCAGGGTGTTTTCCAATGAGTCAGCTCTTTGCATCAGGTAGCCAAAGTATTGGAGTTTCAAAATCAGTCCTTCCAATTAATATTCAGGACTGATTTCCTTTAGGATTGACTCGTTTGATCTCCTTGCAATCCAAGGAATTCTCGAGAGTCTTCTCCAACCCACAGTTCAAAAGCATCAATTCTTCAGCGCTCAGCTTTCTTTATGGTCCAACTCTCACATACACACATGACTACTGGAACACCATAGCTTTGACTAGAAGGACCTCAAAAGTATGCCACACCCTGATTTACTTAAATACAACTGTAGGGTTTTGTTTACAGCCATATTAGAACAGTTATTGGAAAGCAACAGGTTGGTCAGGAGGTGGCAAGATGGTAAATGTTTTGGTATGTGTGGGTCAGAGTCTCTGTTACAGTTATGAACTCTGCCAACATAGTTCCCGAAAGCAGCTATAGACCATACATACACAGAGATGAAAGTGGGTTTCCCAGGTGGTGCTAGTGGTAAAGAATTAATTTGCCAATGCAGGAGACAGCAAGAGAGTCAGGATCGATTCGTGAGTCTGGAAGATCCTCTGGAGAAGAAAATGGCACCCTGTATTCTTGCCTGGGAAATCCCGTGGACAGCGGAGGCTGGTGGGCAATAGTCTGTGGAGTTGCAGAGAGTCCGACATGACTAAGCAACTAAACAGACACATGGCCGTGCTGCAATAAAGCCTTCTTTGCAGTAGAGATGAAGGCGGCACTTACCTGTGAACAGGAGACTGCACGTCTGATTTACAACATCTACAGCCATGAGGCTGGGTTGGGATTATGCTGACAAATAAAAAGGCAGCTACAACGCAACGTTCATATTGTTACTATGTGTAAATATATGTGTCTGTGTCTGTGTGTGTGTGTGTGTAAAGAAAAACTAAATGACACTCATCGGTCTAATATGTTAAGAGCTGCCTGGGTTGTGAAATCACTAGTCATTTAGGTGGTGTCCATGCACACCCCTATGGTTTTCCCAGCTTTTCTGGGGGTTTTGTACTGAGCGTTAATTTACTCTTCTACTAAGGAAAAAGGGGGGAAAAGCCCAGCACCCCAGGTCATGAGATCACTGTCAAGTATGTGCTGACGTATTTCTATAGCACGTTGTTCTGCCACAATGCACAGAGTCAAACTGCCCCAGCTGGGATGTGGGGCCCAGCATTAAGCAGCTGGGCACTGGGACCACATTATTTAACTGATTCTTACCTTAGTTTTTTCATCTGTCTACAGAGACCATCAGGAAGAAGTACTTCATGAGGTTCCTGAAGATTGGGCTCCTCTAGAGAAAGATCTTAGAACAAGATCTTGCACATATTCAATAATAGTTATTTTTGTGTTCTTTTTAGCCATACTCGATGTTTCTCTCACTGAAGATTTTAAAGGTTCTCTGAGAAAATATGGTAAAGATTTTTATTTTATTTGTAGTTTATGAGTATGCTAGATCAAGAAGAACAAGAAAATAGCAGGATCTGTTGTAGAAATCAGTTCAGTTCAGTTCACTCAGTCGTGTCCAACTCTTTGTGACCCCATGGACTGCAGCACACCAGGCTTCCCTGTCCTTCACCATCTCCCCAAGCTTGTTCAAACTCACGTCCATCGAGTCGCTGATGCCATCCAACCATCTCATCCTCTGCTGTCCCTTTCTCTCACCTTCAATCTTTCCCACCATCAGGGTCTTTTCTAATGAGTGGGCTCTTCACATCAGGTAGCTAAAGTATTGGAGCTTCAACTTCAGCATCAGTCCTTCCAATGAATATTCAGGACTGATTTCCTTTAGGATGTACTGGTTGGATCTCCTTGCAGTCCAAGGGACTCTCAAGAGTCTTCTCCAACACCACAATTCAAAAGCATCAATTCTTTGGCACTCAGCTTTCTTTATGGTCCAACTCTCACATCCATACACGACTACTGGAAAAACCATAGCCTTGACTAGATGGACCTTTGTCAGCAAAGTAATGTCTCTGCTTTTTAATATGCTTCCTGGGTTAGAGACCACTTTTCCCACCTGAAGATGTCAGCTACACTGCCCCCCGAGTGGAGTCTCCTTGGCTTTTTGTCCTTCTGGCATTGATACAGTACAGCACAATCTAGAAGACAGAAAAGGGCAGAGTCCAACCCCACTTTTTACTAATTTGAGCACATTTAATCCAAAGGGAAAGCCAGGCGGCTTGGTTGACTGGGGTCATTTCTCCTGCCAAGTTTGGGTGGGTTTGTGCTAGTTGAGCATTTAGTGCCAGCCCTGATCATTATGGGCTGGCACAGAAAATTAAGCTACCACACCTTTAATGAACTTAATTCCCTTATTTTGACAGAGTTCCCATTTCCAGTGATTCACAGTTTACATTTAGACATTTCTCCTATAGGCGTTTGCCAAAGGACTTAACTGGCCTGCTGAGCCCTGGATTCGTTAGCAACTAGGATGAAAACCATCCAAATCACCTTTACAGGTTCTGTAAGCCAGATTCGGACTGGAGGTATCCCGTGTCAGAGCACTCAGGGTCACCTCCGAACACATGCCCTACGTCCTCTCCACTTTTCCTTACCGTTGCATTTTGAAGAGTTGGGACCCAGGCCTTTGGTGGGGGCTGTGAGGGGACCTGGATGCCCGTGGGCATGTGACACGCATTTTATTTGCTTTTTACCATCATCAGAGGGCTTCCCTGGCGGCTCAGTGGTAAAGAATCCACCTGCAAAACAGGAGACATGGGTTGCATCCCTGGGCTTGAAAGATGCCCTGGAGAAGGAAATGGCAACCCAGTCCAGTGTTCTTGCCTGGAGAATCCCATGGATGAAGGGGCCTGGTGGGCTACAGTCCATGGGGTTGCAAAGAGTCGGACACGACTGAGAGATGAGACAACAGTGACCATTACACGTGTGTGCTGAAAAATAAAAGAAAGAAGCAGAGAGGGGTTACTAGGAGAAAACAGCTACACGGGAATAAAGGGGACATAATTTGCTTCCTCATTCTAAAAAGGACAAAGGAGTTTGGTTTTTGTGTTTAGGGGCTGGTGGGGGTCGATGAGATTGTCTCAACTTCTCATTAACTTAGTAAGAGAAAGATGGGAACATAATGTCTATGTAGCAGCAGCGAGCGAAGCAGTTTCAGAACTTGCTTTAATCCTTAAAATTTGTTCAGAGTCCAACAGCTATTAAGGATTAGAACTGGGACTGAGATTTATCTGGTTCCAAAACTCATGCTTTTAAACACTGCTCTGGGATCAGCAGACTTTACTGTCAGGAGCCAAATAGTATTTTAGGGCTGGCCAGTTAGAACATCTCTGTCGAAAAGACGTACATCTGCTGTTATAAGGTGTGGAAGCGGCTAGAGACGATATGCAAATGAGCAAGAGTGGCTGTTGGGACAAAACTTCGTTTGCAAAGATGAGTCAGAAGCCAGACGTGGGCTGGGCAGCACAGTTTGCTGACCCTTGTCATGTTCTGTACTCTAAACTTGAATTTTTTCTTAATGTTTCCTTTCCTGCTTTCAACAACTTCTGGAGCACTGGGCACTAAGAGCATTTTGTAAGCGCCTCTGTTTACTCTCCTTCCATCCATTTATCAAACATGATGTATTGATGACTAACAGAGAGGGATCTGCTTCCCTGGCGGTTCAGCAGTGAAGAAGCCATCTGCAATGCAGGCGATGCAGGAGGTGTGGCTCGGGCCCTGGGGCCGGAAAAACCCCCGGAAGGGGGAACCGCAAAACCCCCCAAGCCTCCTGCCCGAAAAAACCCAAGGAAAAAAAAACCCGGGGGGCCGCAAGCCAAAAGGGCCCAAAAGGGCAAAAAAGAACGAAAAAAAAGGCAAAAAAAAAAAAGATTAATCAGTCCGTAATCTTTCCCTTCCTCACTCATTTTGCATTCTTTCTTATTTCAGCCACCATTTCTTTCTTAAGACTATCTCAGAAATTCTATTATTTTTCCCAGTACCCCTCAAATTCCAGATTATGAAACTTTTCCCCCCCTTCTTTCTAGATAAATTCACTTTAGCTCGAGACATTAGGTGTGACCTCCTTTTGACCTAAAGCACTCTGTCACCCACCCTTAGAATTCTGCTCAGGTCGTGTGTAATCAGCAGTTTGGGAATCTGTAATGGATTTTCCAGGAGGCACCTCTGATGAAAATGTCAACTTTCTAAACAAAGACAGTTGTCAGAATGTCTTTTCAGAAATCCAGATTATTCACATTTCTCATCATGCTGAGTTTTCAGTTCGTCAATAGTAAGGGGGCATTGCCACCTGGTGGAAAAAATATTGAGGGGGTTAGACAGTCACCTGGGGAGGACACAGATAAGTACATTTACACGTCGACTGGAAAACGTCACTGCAGTGCCTAGTGGTCTGAGAACTGACCCGCTCCCTTACTCAGAACCTAAAACAAGTAAATGCAAGTAAAAACTACTAACGATTATGTTCGAATAGATTCCGGTGATCTATTTTTAGAATAAAATGGCTTGAAATGCCAGGTTCTTCCTAATTGTTAAAGCTCCATCGGACTCATCTCTTCCCCATTTATAGACTCGTCCTCTTTCTGTAATTTTCGATCCCTGTGCATGGATTTGTTTGTCTGTTTCTATGTTTCAGTAACGCGCAGGTCCTCGATAGCCTCTTCACTTTACCCTAAGACGTCTTTGAGTACCTTGCACTGTCGAATTTACCCTAAGACGTCTTTGAGCACCTTGCACCGTCGATCCTTCATCGGCCGGTGTCCGCCGGCCCTGAACTTGACCTCGCCGTTGACCATCCTGCCCTCTGAAATCCCTGCGCCACCTCCCACCACACTCCCAGATCTGCAACCGACTATGTTAGGTTTGGCTGACTCAAACGGCTCTCTGTGTCCCTAGGCTTGGGGCGTCCCTCTGACTTCCGCTTCGCCCGGAAGTCCTTCCTTCTCGGTTCCCAGGCGCGCGGCTTCCTCTCCCCTTTCCGCTCTGGTTCCGCCGTCATCCGTGTTTCGGTCTTTGCCCAAGATTCCTGCCCTTGCTTTCCTTTCTTTCCGTCCTTTTTCCTTCTTTTTTTCCTTCCTTCTTTCTTCTCTCCTTTCTTTCCTCTTCCCTTCTTTCTCCTTGCTTCTTTTCTGCGAGTGTGAAAGCTAACAATGTGATCATCAGTCTCCTCTTCACTGCATCACTTTCTAGATCCGTCCATCCACTTGTGTGGCTTCAGCTCGTCTCCAGAGCATCTGCCTCCGGAGGCCTGGACCCGACACGTGTCCTTGTCTTGCTTTCCTGCTTTTCCAGGTTACCCTAAGTCCAGCATCTCCTTCTATTAGCTGGAACCCACTCCGGACAAAATTGAAAGGACCACATTTCTTAACGTAATCATCGCGTTTCTCAATTCCCCCCTTTAAAGGAAAGCACACTTTCTCTAATATTCGGTATTAGACATATTAGAGCAATTCAAAACTGGTTCCTCTGTTTTATTGTTCTCATCCACTGCGACATCACAGGCTCTCTTTGTCTCTTCTGAAATGTTTGTCTTGAGGATAAACTTCATGTGTAGAAAAGCTTTGCTTCTCATCATTGTCTCCCAGCTGCTACAGGGCTTAGCATATCATACATGTCTAATAAATATTTGTCTGTGAATAAATGGAATGATGTTCACAAATCTTTCTTTTTTCCAAGTGCCAGGATCCATGCCATATCCTTTTTACTGTATCACAGGGCTCCAGAAACCTCTTATATTTTAGCACTCCAATTTGAGTGTTCTTCACTGATGGCATAGCATCAGCAGGTAAAGAATCTGCCTGCAATGCAGGAGACACGAGAGACAAATTGCAACAAATTCTGTTGTAGCCAGATCCAATTTCATACACAATTCCCCTCTTAGTCTTTCATTCTTGTTAGTTTCAATTTTTCAAACAAATTAGATGCACATCAGGAGAAGAATTAAGAGATCGGATTTTTGTTTCCCATCTTTATTTTCTATCTCCTTAATCTATCAAATCATGTATTGATCATGTGGTTCCCATGAAGATCAAATTGGACACTTTTTATAAAATTGACTTGTAAATGAAAACACTTGGTTTGTGTCAATTAGGCTGTTGTTTTGGTATTCTGTTCCTACTGTAATTATAGTCATAGTAGTCACAAACTGGGCTTCCCTGGTGGCTCAACGGGTAAAGAACCCATCTGCTAATGCAGGAGATGCAAGAGATGTGGATTTGATCCCTGGGTCGGGAAAGATCCCCTGGAGAAAGGAATGGCAACCCACTCCATTCTCCGCTGGAGAATCCCGTGGACAGAGGAGCTTGGCTGGCTACAGTTCACTGGGTCACAAAGAGACAAGACTGAGCATGTACACACACACAGCCACAAACTAGTCAGTCTATTTTTGTCTGGAAAATCCAGTGGACAGAGAAGCCTGGAAGACTATAGTCCATAAGGTCTCAAAAGAGTTGAACACAACTGAAGCAACTTAGGCAGTCAGGACCAAATCCTTACAAAATTATAAATTTAGTGGAATGCTTCTCTGAAACAGTAGATAGGATATACTATTTCCAAAATATTAATTAGATTATAAGTTCTTTAAAGGAAATCACATGTAGACATTATCTGTGTTTAGAATTTTATTTCTTGCCTTTAAAAGAATAAATGTGCCAGTTCAGACTTAAGAGAAAAGAAGCCGATGAAGCAAATGTAAGCTTGTGTAAATATAAAGTTGATTTCTCACTCAGGAGGAAACTTACTGCTCCAGAGCAGTAGGTGCTCTTCCCTGTATAAAGTAAGTCTTAGAACATGGACATTAAAAAAAAAAAGAAAAAGAACATGGACATTACACTCTGTCTTCTCAGATATTAGTTAGGTTTCTGTATTCCAACACCCATAGAGACCACCTGGCTTTTTCACCACTGTATTCCCAAAGCAGAGCATACAGCAGAAGTTTGATAAACATTTATTAGTTAAGAAACCCAGTCTTCTATTATAGCATCGATGCTTTTGAACTGTGGTGTTGGAGAAGACTCTTGAGAAGATAAGTCCAAGAGAAGACTCTTGGACCACAAGGAGATCCAACCAGTCCACCCTAAAGGAAATCAGTCTTGAATATTCATTGGAAGGACAGATGCTGAAGCTGAAACTCCAATACTTTGGCCACCTGATGTGAAGAACTGACTCATTGGAAAAGACCCTGATGCTGGGAAAGATTGAAGGTGGAAGGAGAAGGGGACAACAGAGGATGAGATGGTTGGATGGAATCACCGACTCAGTGGACATTAAGTTTGAGTAAACTCCAGGAGTTGGTGATGGATAGGGAGGCCTGGCGTGCTGCAATCCACGGGGTCGCAAAGAGTCGGACACGACTGAGAGACTGAACTGAACTGAACTGAATCATATGAAATATTCTTTTTTACTATCTTGCTTTCCATCCTGGTTCTTCTCCAGGGCTAGCCGTTCCCTGTTTTTCCCTTGATCACATGATCTCATTGCCAGGTAACACTTTGTAGTTACAAAGTGGTCAGCTAATAATAATGAACTTAGGCGGGCCACATAGACTCACCCAGAGTCTGTTTTTGTTTTTTTTTCTGAGTCTTCTAGTGGTTGGAGGTTGTCATGTGACCCAGTGTTCACCAATGTTGTTTTCAAGGAGCTGGAGTTGTGGCTGGCACAAACTTGTGTTCAAATATTTGTTGAATGAATAAAAAAAAAAGAAAAGAATGGAATAGGGAGGGAAACTGACATGTACACCTCCCACCTCTCCTAAAACACCACTGACTTGTACCCTCCCTGGCACAAGAGCAAGCCTGTGTCCCAGCCCCGAGGGTGCCCATGACCACAGCACTCTAGTTCAGGGCTTGCCAGCACCGTCTCTAAAGGATCAAATAGCAAATATTTCACACTTCATAGCCCTGAAGTCTCTGCAGTTCCCATCTCTGTGCTTGCAGCCTCAAAGCAGCCCTAGATAACACGTGTACACTTGGGTGTGGTTGTGTCCCAGTGAGCTTCTGTACACAGATGCAGGCAGTAGCCTGGGCTTGAGCTGCAGTTCCTCTGCCCTAGGTGGTCCTGGGGGAGCCCGACAGGGGAGACATGGAGGACTCCAAGGGTGTCTTGCAGCTGAACGACCTCGTCACCCTGAATTGCTCAACTCAGGGCAGGAATATAGGAGAGAAATAAACACCTTTTTCCTTTAAGCCATTACATCTGACTCCTTTGTTAGAGCAAAGCTGCTTGGCTGGTGCAGACACTATAAAATGAATTGCTAACTGATTTTACTATTAGTGTTGTTCTATTGTTATAGTTATCTTTATTTTTGTTATATTTAAGCCTCTACTGACCCTGGAATAAATTGGCTGTATGACTAAACACCAGAAGTGGGGCTTCCCCACTGGTTCAGTGGTAAAGAATCCACCTGTGATGCAAGAGACGCAGGTTCAATCCCTGGGTCGGGAAGATGCCCCAGAGAAAGAAATGGCAGCCCACTTCAGTATTCTTGCTGGGAACTCCATGGACAAGAGAAGCCTGGTGGGCTACAGTTCATGGGGTCCCAAAATTTTCAGACACAGCTTAGAGACTAAACAACAACGACAAAACACCAGAAATAGCCAAAGCCGGGGAAATCACTATTATAATGTTTGGTAAACTTGCTTAATTTAATCATCAGGACACTCAGAGGAATGGATTGTGTTAATACCATCTAGGCAAATTAGGAAACAAAGGATGATATTGATTCAGTGTGTTGCCCAAGGTCACAGAAGAAAAATGGAGGGTCAACTGCATCTGCTTTCCTAGCCTTTGCTCACCATGCCCTCTGCTGGGGGAGTTCTGATAATAATCCTTTACCATCTAAGCCACCAGGGAAGCCCCTTGGGATTCATGTCTTGGCATCAACTTGCTAGAATGTTCACAAAAGAGGCGGAGCCCCTGAGTAATTGCCCAACTCTGCACTGCCCAGTATGGCTGGTCACTGGCCACATATATGGCTATTCAAGTTACATGAAATGAATTAACTAAAAACCCAGCCCCCCGCCCCCCCCCCACACACACACAATTGCACAGTCACATTGACTGTGCTCACCAGCCACCGGTGCCTCATGGCCGCGGCTTCGGACGGCGGGTTGCAGGACATTGCCTTGTTGCAGGAACGTCTGCGGGGCAGCTCGCTCTCTCTCCTGCCTCTAGATTTGACTGCTTCGGTTTCTATGCAAATCCAGCTTCTTGGTACTTGACCTTTGGCATCCCCTTAGAGCTGTTCTGTTAGCATCACCCAGAGCAAGCTGCCCCCTCCAGATTCCTAGATTGAGTTCCCCTGTCGTCCTTTCCTCCTTTTTTTTTTCCCCCTTTTTGCCCCCACCCCATGGCCCCTGCTACTTCTGCGCTGCCTGTCACGTCTTCAGTGCTAATTGCTTCCCAGCAGGATGGAGCCAGGCTCTCCAAGTCCAAAGGAGGAGACAAGAAAAGAGATAGTGTGTGGAATCTGGCCCGAGAGTGTCGAATCTGCAGACTAACTGCATGGTCACAGTAACCGTAGAAGCAGTCCCCCCAGGTTATTAGGCTGAAAGAATGCTTGCATCTCTTCACTCTCCTGGCGAGGACCCGGAAGACGGGGGGCTGTGAGAAACCTCTGGGCACCTCTGTTTGTGACAGGATGTGTTTGCGTGCATGCTTGTCTGTGTAGGTGTGTGTTTTTCTGCCCCATGTGCTGCATGCGAAGTCACTTCAGTCACGCGCGATCTCTGCTATTCTGTAGACTGTAGTCCGCCAGGCTCCTCTGTCCATGGGATGCTCCAGGCAAGAATACTGGAGTGGGTTGCCATGCCCTCCTCCAGGGGATCTTCCCCACCCAGGGATTGAACCTGTGTCTCTTACGTCTCCTGCATTGGCACAAAGTTTCTTTAGCACTAGCGCCACCGGGCTTATCTGTGTAGTTGTGTTTTCCTGCCCGATAGAGTGTGGAAGCCCCCTTCACAGCCAACACCCACCTTGCACACCTAGCCACCCGCCTATTGTCTGAAAAGCTACAGCAGGTGAATCACAAGGATATCTTTGTCCACGCTTTGGTGGAGGCTGAGTTCACTTCCATTAAGGGCACAGTATCTCCAGAGTTCATGAAAGTGGCAGTGTTGCACAAAGGGCTCTTGTCTAGCATTTGGAAGTGAACTGTCCGAGGAGACACACGCGCTGACAAAGCAAGAGCCTTTATTGGGAGGGGCCGCCTAGACAGAGGCAGGGTTAGGGTGAGGGAACCAGGAGGACGGCTCAGCCACCTGGCTCACAGTCTCAGGTTTTGTGTGATGGGTTTAGATTCCAGGTTGTCTTTATCCAGTCGTTATGACTGAGAGTCCTTCCTGGGGGTGCACGCCTTGCGCAGCCGGGAGGGATGCCATCGAGAAGATTCTGGGAGATGGTCGGATACGTGGTGTCTCCTTTTGACCCTTCTGGAGCTTTTCTGGTTGGTGGTGGCTTGTCAGTTCCGTGTTCCTTACCAGGACCTCCTGTCGTGAAATAACTCATGCAGATGGTTACTGTGGTGTCTGGCCAGGGTGGGCAGTTTCTGGCAGTGTGGTCCCCCTAACAGAAGCTTATGGGAAAGTATATACCTGTTCAGATGGACTGAACAATGCTGATGGGTCTGGCAGAGTTCCTAGTCATGCACTACCCCTGAGCCTGCACGTCTGTCTGCATCACGGCGTGAAGGATCTCGGGTAATGCAAATTTCTTGGCTCGTGTGGGAGATGCGAGTTGGTGCACAACTCTTCCCAGGGGTGTTTTATCAGGGATGCAGAGCGGACCAACCTGGGCTCAGTGCAAGGCCGCGGCTTCCCATCTCTCTCCATCAGGAGTAGATAGTCCAAACACACATGCAGAGATGGTACAGTTTCTTGTCACTGAATTTCATGAGACCTGTATCGGAGAACTTGGGAGTTTTTAAGCGTTCATCACAAAAGGAAGGATTTGGGGCAGCCTGCACCCTCTTGTTTAGATCAAAGTCTGGTCCACGGGGTGCTTTGTGATCTGGACGTTTAATGAAATAATTGGTATTTGCCTTCCGGAGTGAGAAATGACTTTCTTTGACCTCCTTTGGAGTTCTTCGTTTTAAGATAAGCTCAAATATTGACAGAACTGGAACTGAGATTAAAGGACATATAAAGTGCATTAGTGTTCTAGGAAAGCAAGAAGAAAGGCCCAGGGGCCTCTCCCACAGTAAATAAAAGTGACACAGATTCTTAAGAAAACACTGCTGAATTTCACTCGTGTGTATGATGAAATGGATTAAGTTTACAGTGGTCTGAAGAGCAGGATGGATTCTTCACCTTGACACCCCCAGGAACAAACCGCAGCCTCACCCGAGCCCCCTTTTTATTCATCTTGACCACTTTCTTTTTGGTGTGCATCGCAGTCCGACGCATAATGAGAGCCAGCTGTCGGCCCTCAGAGGCCACGAGGGAAGGGTCCGCAAATGTTCTCAACACCGGTCGCCCAGCCCAGGCTCTCACTTGATGAGTCACTTAAAGAAAGTTGGCAGCAGGAGAGGGAAAAGATGACTGTGGATGCCCTCGTTATCAGAGGATGCGTTATCCACATGCACTGTGTATTATCTGAGGCTTCCAGTTTCTCTCTCTTGAGTTCTGTAGCTGATTTGTAGATTTGTAGATTTATCCCAAGCTGGAGAAAGGAAGAAAGGAAGGAAGGGGAAGGGAGGAAGGAAGGAAGGGATGGATAGAGGGAGGGAGGAAGGGAAAGAAAGGAAGGAAGGAAGAAAATTATGTCCTATTTGCCATATAAGCAGGATTTAGGATTCAAAATGATGTCTAATTATTGATGGGGCAAATAGAGAATTACCTGGTTCCCAGTTAATATAAAGGAATATGTTTAATGTGAGAGAAGGACAGAGCAACACAGAGTTCCCATTTCCCCTTGTAAAATATTTACTGTTCAGGTCCTCCTCACCAGTCAAATCAGTCAAATATTTACTGTCAAAGTTCAGGGGCAAGGTGAGACACACGGCCGTATGTGATGCTACGATCCCTGCTGACCAGACTGAAGCCAGAGCCCCTAAGCTTTAGTCTTCGTTTAACCACCCTGGCTCTCTGTGTTCCTGGAAGGAAAAAAAAAAAAATCACTGAAATATTTTCTGCCAATCAGTGAGTTATTAAACAGAAATTATCTGGCTCAGATGGTAAAGAATCTGCCTGCAATGCAGGAGATGAGGGTTCGATCCCTGGGTCGGGAAGATCCCTTGGAAGAGGGCATGACAACCCACTCCAGTATTCTTGCCTGGAGAATCCCATGGACAGAGGAGCCTAGGGGGGTTACAGTCCACAGGGTCTCAAAGATCTGACACATCTGCGCTACTAACACTTTCAAGTTTCTACTTCATGTGCTTTATGAAGGCTCGTGACAAACGTCTGCATGTATCTTTGAGGGCTTTGAGATTCTACAATGTTGTTCATTTGGATGTACTTTGGCTACTTGGTCGAACCACACTGACATTGTAAAATGCATCCACGATCTTTAACATCAGCTTGAAATTCAGCAAAGATAGGCGATTTATCTTTCAACATTGTTAATTTGTAGACCATTTTAACCATTCTCAGTACAGAGGAAATGCTTCTTCTAGAGTTTAGGGTGCCCCTGTCTCCAAAAAGTGCATATAATTTGCCCTTTGAGTTTGGTTATGGTCCTGATGGGTTTCTCTGCGGGTTCGAATGATAAAGAATCCCCTAGGAATGCAGGAGACACTGGTTGGATCCCTGGGTCGGGAAGCTCCCCTGGAGGAGGAAATGGCAACCCACTCTAGTATTCTTGGCTGGGAAATCCCGTGGAAGGCGGAGCCTGGTGGGTGGGGCAGGTGGGTACAGTCCCCGGGGTCACAGAGAATCGGACAGGCCTGAGCAGTTAAACAACAGCAAGGCGGTCCTGACACGTCCTGTTGAACACTGCCTAAAGAGTGGTGAGTAGGACTCCTGCCCTCTGTCTGGCTTCTGCGAGGAGAGCAGGCCTGAGTCAACTTCCTGATAGAACCGAACAAAACCCCCAGTGGGCGTCTGTCTGTTCCTCTGCATCCACAAAAGAGACTGCTAGTTCTGCCTCCTCTGCTAGGTCCACGAGTGTTTCCACTGCACCTTTCTCTTCTTTTATTTATTTATGTGTTTCATTCCTTTTTTTAAAATTTATTTTTAAGTGAAGGGTAATTGCTTCACAATGCTGTGTCGGTCTCTGCTGTACACCAACATGAATCCGCCACACGGATACCATGTCCCCTCCCTGCTGAACCCCTTCCCACCGCCTCCCCATCCCACCCCTCAGGTCTTCGCAGAGCAGGGAACCCAACTCCCCGTTGCCCCGCAGCCCCCATGAGTCACCTGCTTCACACCCGGGATGTGCGCGTTTTAGCGCCGCGCTCTCAGCCCCTTCCCCCGCGGCGTCCACAGGCCTGTTCTCCACTGGACATTTCTCTTCTGGTTTAATGTTTTCAACTGCAGCCGTGCGCTAAACAGAGAAAATCCATTCTCAGGACTTTCTGGGCCTTGGGTCAAATGTCCCTTGGTTGTCATTCTAATCTTAAGGTCCTTCAAACAAAAGGGCTTTGTCTCAAAACATGGATCAGTTATTTCCTAAATTAGGTGAATAGCTTACCTAAGCTAAGACAGGAAGCCACTTTATTAATGGATTCAGGACAAATCCACAACATTAAAACATTTGATATCGCTCATAAATACAAAAGGGAAATAAATCTGGCTGAGAACAAGAAAAATGCCTGGGTCCAATCTCTCTTAAATCCCTTAAAGTTAGAAGAAAAAAAAATGAAATCTTTCCTGATACCTCAAATTTTCACAATGTTGTCTTCAGCTTTTCTCTATCCCTTACCTAATTTTCATTTAAAAACCTACATCTTAAATACTCCATGCTCTATTCACTTTTCATTTCTCGATAGGAGTTTGGAGGAATTCTTTTAAAACAATCACTGGAAGGCATGAACAAATTATTGGAAATCTTCCTCAGCAGGAGTTTCTTTAATTGCCTACACTCTTTGCTCCAGTGTGAATTTATCACCACTGAGGATATTAGCCTGGTAAAACTTCAAAAATCTGCTTATTCCAAGAGTACTTGGAAGGACTGAAAAAAAAGACAGTATTCCTTCACCATATCAGAGTGATTCTGCACACTTACCCTCATGCTTCTCCCCCGATTCACAGCTGCTTCAACAAGAATGTCCAGAAGAATAAAAAATGGAGATTTGGCGCAAGGCAGTCTTTAGGTTTCTGATCAAGAGTTATTCCTATACGGAGCCCCTGAGTATTTCCCAGAGTGTATTTGACAATCACCTTAAATGAGAATTTTTTTTTTTTTTTTAATTTTACTTTGTTCAAGTCCTACTGCAGAACTCCTGAATCTTTAAGAAAGTGAGGTCAGGAAATCTGTACTTTTACGTAATTCCCCAAATGAATGAATGCTAAAGTTGACAACCATTAAAACTGCATGAAACTATACCAAACCTGGACTTCCGCAGTGGCTCAGCACTGAAGAATCTGCCTGCAAGTCAGGAGCCGCAGGAGACACAGTTTCGATCCCTGGGTTGAGAAGATCCCCTGGAGGAGGGCATAACAACCTACTCCAGTATTCTTGCTTGGAGGATCTCATGGACAGAGGAGTCTAGTGGGCTACAGTTCATGGGGTCGCAAAAAGTCAGACACAACTGAAGCGACTTAGCATGCACGCAAGCATACCAAACATAATTGCAGTTGAAGACTTTTAAAGCATAAAATGAAAGCCTAGTAAATGTGACTATTTCAAAACAAACAAGAAATTGGTTAACAGACACCATAACCAATGTTAAACCATAACCTAAAACCAGTTAGAGATTAGTACGCAGTTTAAAGACTGATAAGTCACATTTTAAAAAGGCATGACACTTGGGAGAAAAATTAGGCAAAATATTTTTAAAAGCCTTTCAAAGCAATAAACTCAAATGTTCAAAAAAAAGTATGCAAAGATGCTTAGTTTAACTGGCAGTCAGGGAACTGCAAATCCAAACAAAAACAAAATACCATTTTATAAACTTTCAAAAAGTAAGAAGTTTGTTAGTACCACTCATAATCAGAAAGACAGATAAATAAGAACTTTTGTAAACTACTGAAGTATAAGTTGGTACAACCACTTTGGAAGGAATGTTAAAATGCCAATAACTGAGAGGGCACTTATGTTCATATAATTTACTAAAACGAATGACCAGCTACATGCAAAAGGATAGACACATGATAACCCTGCTTATAATTGCTCCAAGTCAGAAACAAGTGAAGTATGGGATTTTTGTATGACAGAATAATGTACTTAAAAGAAATGAGCAAGACCTGTATGTATCAGAATCAATAATTTTCAAAAACTAAACTGAGTGAAAAAATCAGACACAGAAGGGAATTAATGTTATTTTATTGTTTCTGTAAAAGTTAAGGCACAGTATATGTGTGTACCTGCGCACACCAAGATATGATGCACCTAGATTAGTAACTTCCCTGTGGATTGCAAGGTCATAAACCAAATTCACCATAGCAATTGCTTCTAGAGAGGGAAAGAGAAATGAGACACAGGAGAGAAAATTCAGGTTGTTAACACCATTAATAAGTAATACTTACATTTCTTTATTTGCTACATGCTTTATGTTTAATATCATGTTTAATCTCCTAACAATCATGTAGTTACTAATGTCCACTATTTTCAGATGTTATATTTCTAGTACTGATAAACACACACACACACACACACACACACACACACATTTTAAATCTCAAGCCATTTTAAGGGGGAAAAAAAAAGAAACATTTTCTAAATCTGAGTAGTAAGATTTGGGTGCAAGTTAGTGTCATATTATTTCCGTCATTTGTCTTTTTTGTTTTTAGTTTTTCTTTAAAATATATACCTAAGATCACATTAGAATGTGTATGTCACTTCTTCAATTAAAAGAAAATAAATCCTGCTTTTCTTTTCCGCTTCACTTCATCTGTACTATTTCTGACCTGTATACCCCACTCACGCACACACATACACACACACTATACCACACACACATTTGTATGCATATGTGTGTACATGTATATATGCCTGTATGTGTGAGTATGCATGTGTGTATGAATCTGTATATATGTGTCTCTTATATTATTGTAACCTTCCTGAGCTACGTCCACACCGAAACTGCACCAAAATGTCTAAGTGGCTCTGTCCATCATCGCCCAAACTTGGAAGCAACCAAGAGGTCCCTCAGAAGGAAAAAGGGTGAATGAAGTACACCCAGACAGCAGAGGGTCATCCAGCTCTCAAAAGAAACGAGGAATCCAGCCGTGAGAGGCAAGGAGGAAACTTAGATGCGCATTACCTCGTGAACGAAGCCAGTCTGAAAAGGCTCCATGCGGTGTGTTTCCAGCTGGCCTTCTGGGGAAGGCAGAACTGTGCAGACAAAACGGTTGGTGGTTCCCAGGTGCCAGGGCAGGGGGGATGAATAGACCGGGCCCCGGGGCCTCGTAGTGCTGAGACCGACTCTGTGACTGTAGGGGCGAGCACATGTCGTGGTGCTTTGGCTCACACCTATAGGATGTAACCACCACGCGCGGCCGCTAATGCAAGCTGTGGGCTTTGGGTGATGATGGGGTGTCAATGCGGGCTCATCCTTGGTACCAAAGGCACCATTCTGACGAATGACGCTGATCGTGGGGGAGGCTGAGCAGGTGTGGGGCAGGGTGTGTGGAAGGTCTCTGTACTGTCTGCTTAAGTTTGTGGTAAACCCAACAGGGCTCTAAGAATTATCTTACCAGGAAGAGAGCCCAGGCTCAAAAGTCTAAGTGACTTAACAGAGGTTGACAGATGGAGAATCGAAACCGAGCTGGTTTGACCCCACAACCTGTTTTTAACCCACACACTGAAAACATGGGTATTATTATTTGCTGTTGTTGAGTCGCTCAGTCATCAAAGAGTTGCTCAACTCTCTGCGAGCCCATGGACTGTAGCCCGCCAGGCTCCTCTGTCCATGGGGCTTTATAGGCAAGAAGACTGGAGTGGGTTGCCATTTTCTTCTCCAGGGGATCTTTCCCACCCAGGGATTGACCAGGTCTCATGTCTCCTGCATTAGCAGGTGAGTGAATTTACCACTAGTGCCACCTTGGAAGCCCTCTATTGGTATAGAAGTGGATCCACTAAGGCATTAAGCCATCCAAACTGCCTCACCTTTAAATAATATCTAGCACTTACATCTGTCTTTAGGACTCACCAAGTGCTTTCTTCAGAAAGCTCTTCCACAGCCCCACAAGCCCGCTCAGGAACAGTCATCCATCCTTCTTATCCGTTCCTATTAGTTGTTCTTTGAATTGAATCCGATCACTGAATCCGATTATGGAAATTACTGGCCACTTTGAATGTCTTAATCCCCGGGGGCTGGTCAATCCCTCCCAACATCCAGCAGGAAGGAAAAAGGAACAAAGAAGAAAGAAACCTGAGATCCTGCCTCTCAGTTTCTTCACCTCGCCCTGGAAAACTACAGATGTATCACTTTGCAGGCAAAACCCCAGTGCCTCAGGTCCCTCTTAGCTTTGCCAAGGCCGTCAACTCAGTGGATCAGGCACACTCACGCCAGAGCTTAGCTAACAAGAACCCAAGTCTGTATTGTGCAGGAGGAAGGGTGGGCTTTTCAGTGGTGTGTGTGTCTGTGTGTGTGTGAGAGAGAGAGAGTGAGTGTGTGCATATGTGCTTAGTCGTGCCTGACTCTTTACAACCCCATGGGCTGTAGCCTGCCAGGCTCCTCTGTCCATGGAATTTTCCAGGCAAGAATACTGTAGTTGGTTGCCATTTCCTACTCCAGGGGATCTTCCCATCCCAGGAATTGAACTCGCGTCTCCTGGGGCTTCTGCATTGGCAGGCAGATTCTTTACCACTGAGGCCACCTCGCTGATGCTATTTTCCAGATATTTCTTGTGTCTGATGTTAAAGACAACGCACTCTCACCAGCTTTGCTACTTACTCTTCAGAGATTGGAAACACTTATTAGCATTTTAAGGAGATACTGACTTCCTATCGCTGTATCTTCAAAATTCAGGTCAAGCGTGTTAGGTTTACATAGCGCCTGGAAGTTGCTGCAGATGCTGCTAAGATGATGAGAGATGGTCCAGGTCGCTCCATGATTCTCATGGAGAATCAGGTTCACAGTTCAGCTTAAGGAGCCTCTGTTCACAGAGCTCATCAGACTTGTGTGGTCCCTGCTCTTTGTGTATTTATGTTTAACCCTGTTGTGGAGGGTTGGTAGCTTCATCGGCTTCCTAAAACGCAGAGTTTACTTGAAGGGCACACATGCCCCAGAACTGCTTGGCCATCTCTTCTTATGGCTGGATGATCCCTCTTTCCTGTATCTCAGTCCCTGTTGCTGGGCCTGTTTCCTTTTCTCCTTAAGAACAACTGGCTGATCACTTCCATTTCTTCCAGCCAAATCACAGATGAGGTGAAGTTCCCTGCTATCTCTGTTTAACCTGCTTCGTTTGGTCAGTTCTGCACACCCAGGGTGTCTCCTATGCTTTCCTGAAGCCAGATGGCTATTTTCCTGGGATGGCCAATCGCCAGTCCCGTTCAATTGAAAAAGGCAAATTAAAAAATAAGAGACCTGATACCATTTCTATAAAGCAGACAAATTAAAAAGAAAAAGAAATCAGGCACTGATCTAAATGTTTTATGTGCCTGATCATATTTTAAATCTCTCCCACTCCAACTGAACCTATCTGTCATCTCGGTGGAAGCGTCTCCGTATTTAACTTTATCCTCCTCCCCCCAGGCCTTCTGACCTCCCTGAGCTTCTTTTGGCTGTGCTCCCAGTTCCAAACCAGTGACAGTCCTTTCAAACACGCTCTCTCCAGAAGCCTCCATTTGTTTTATCCCTCACTTCCTCAATTCTCCGATTTCAACTTGCTAACAAAAGAGAATCCCTCCTTTATAAAATCTTTCTGTATTTCACCTCCATCTCAGAATTTCTTTCCTGTTAGTTTCCACATTCTTGTCCCTTTTGGTTTTTAATTAGTCTCCAGTCTTCCTCTGCTCAGCATAGACACATGTTCTCATCCAGTCAAATCCCCAAGAGGAAAAACAAAAGAATCCTCCTCCAGTTTGCTTCCTCCTCTAACTATGGTCTCATGCTCTTCCCTCCTTCCACTGCTAAAAGTCTAAGAAGTGCAGCCCACACTCACTGTTTCTGCTCATTTCTCAAGTTATCCTTGACCTTAGCCTGCTCTAACCTGTTGTGACCACTTTGGAGAAAGTGTTCTCCAAGCTGACACAAGGACATCCAGTGTGCGAAGATCTCAATGCTCTCTCGTCAGTTCCCAAGCAGCCCGAATATTCGACAACAGTAACATTTAATGCACTGCAGGACGTTCTATATTCAAATCCACTGCTGCATTTAATTCTGGTATTGCTACTGCTTCCATTTTACAAGGGCCTTCCTTGTGGCTCAGCTGGTAAATAAGCTGCCTGCAGTGTGGGAGACCCAGGTTTGATCCTTGGCTCGGGAAGATCCCCTGGAGAAGGAAATGGCAACCCACACCAGTGTTCTTGCCTGGAGAAGCCCATGGGCAGAGGAGCCTGGCGGGCTACAGTCCATGGACTCACAAAAAGTCAGACATGACTTAGCAACTAAACCACCACCAACCACCACTTGTGGCTAAGCTAGTAAAGAATCTTCCTGCAATTAGGGAGACCTGGGTTCAATCCCTGGGTTGGGAAGATCCCCTGGAGAAGGGAAAGGCTACCTACTCCAGCGTTCTGGCCTGGAGAGTTCCATGGACTGGTCTATGGGGTCGCAGAGAGTCAGACACAACTGAGAGACTTTCACTTTCCATTTTATAAACCAAGAAGCTATATAAAATGATTTGCACAAGTACCAAAAGATAATAAGCTTTATAAAGCTCATGTCAAGTCCCGTTCTTTTGACCCCATGGACATTTAAAGCAATTGGAAATCACCCTTGCATTTTCTATGGCACGATGCTTCTGGTTCATCTTCTGTAGGTCACTGTCTGTAGCTGTTTCATTTCATTAATTGGCTCTTCCTTCAGTTCGTCTTTCTACACAGGTTTCTGCTGAAGCTTCAGTAACAGGTTCTCTTTCCTCTTCCCTTCACATCTGTTTCCTGGGGAACATATCTATCCATATTGCCTGTGGTTCTCTCCCAAATTACATTCTGAGCCCGCTCGTTTCCACTAAGGTCCAGATTTCTTATGTCAGCCTCCATCTAAGCATCTCTCTATGGATGATTCTTGCTGGCACCATAAATTCAATATATCTATGATCAAATGCATGATCTCACCTACAAACAGTAGAAACTAACAAACGTGTTCCCTTAGGTTCCTTTTTCTTGGTTAACTCTCTCATCTAGTCACTCAATCCATCCAACCAGTTCTTGCTATTCAGTCCCTAAGTCGTGTCCAACTGTGCGACCCCATGGACTGCAGCACCGGGCTTCCTTGTCCTCCACTATCTCCCGGAATTTGCTCAAGTTCATGTCCCTTGAGGCAGTGATGCCATCCAGCCATCTCATCCTCTTTCATCCCCTTCTCCTTCTGCCTTCCATCTTTCCCAGCATCAGGGTCTTTCCCAGTGAATTGGTTCTTCACATCAGGCGACCAAAGTATGGGAGCTTCAGCTTCAGCATCACCATCCAACTAGAAGTCCAAATAATTTTCAGTTTTGCTTTTCTCTCAGAAACCTATGATTTCCAAGAAACCTGAGCTTTTTCTAGAAAGTCTTATTTCCACTTATATGTCCAGCATCCCAGAGCAGATACATGTTATTTCTCATACAGATTATTCAGATCCTCACTGAAAATGGCTTTGCAATCATCCCTTTTCATCCCAGAGGAATCTATCACATGACCTGATCATGTCACCCCTCTGCGTAAAGACCTCAGACACTATCTATGATGTATATACACAAGGTCACATTCCTTTCCTAACCTGTCATTCCAAGCCACCCACTATCTGACCCCAACATAACTTTTTAAAATCATGTCCCACTAGATCTTACTATGTGAGTGCACTTTCGCCAAACTGGACAATTCACATGCTAAACAAGCAGATCTGCTTTCTCCCTTCTGGACTCTGCTGATGCTTCAGCTGGGGATCCTCTCATCTCCACTTATAACCACCCCCCACCCACTAAGCTGTGGTTCAGTTACTCAGTCGTGTCTGACTCTTTGTGACCCCGTGGACTGCAACACACTAGGTTTCCCTGTCTTCCACCATCTCCCAGAGTTTGCTCAAATTCATGTCCATTGAGTCGGTGATGCCATCCAACCTTCTCATCCACCCACTAAGTACTGGTTTCTATAACAGTTCTAACTTCTACACTACTTAAAATAACCAGGAAACTGAGGACTGCCTGACCCTTCTCTCATAGATATAAAATGTATTCTAGAAAGATCAATGTACCTCAGAACCATTGCAGATTTGAAATGAGCACATATAACCTGTTTGAGGGTAGAAAGGACAAGAATGTCCATTCAGAAGACTAGGGCACCTACTCACCCAAAAGCAATCTCCTCCTCTTTGCTAGGTGTTGGGAAATGTCCATTTCTCAATTTTCATGTAAACGATTCACGATTGTCAATAGACTTCCTGATTCCCCAGGCCTCTGACAAGAACTTTCATCTCTTTGATTCCAAACAACTTTCAATACTTGCATCTCTGATCCCCTCCACTTAGGTTTTATAGAATTCTGGGAATTACCCTAAACAGGAATGTTTTGGTCCTTAAAGAGCTGTCTCAGGAACTTGACCCCAGTGGCCAGAGGCTCCACCTCTCCATGCGGGAAGTGCAGGTTCCCTCTCTGGTCAGGAAAACTAAGATCCTACATGCCACAGTTCATGGCCAATAGACTTCAGAAACAACTTGACCCAATGGACTGGGGTGAACAGCCTTGTCTCTCAAAACTCAGGTCCACCTGCAACTATAGAACGTGATCTTGCATGAACATAAGGTCTTGTGATGTGATTACTTAAGATGAGGTCACACTGGATTAAGGCGGGCCCTAAGTACAGTGGCTGGCATTCTCGGGAGAAGGCCCCACTGGACACAGACACACGGAGGCAGAGATTCGAGTGAGAAGTCTAGAAGCCAAGGAATATTGAGAGCTGACAAGAGAAAGCCAGGAGAGAGGTATGGAACAGGTTCTTTCTGCTGACCACTTGATGTCAGACTTCTAGGCATCAGAACTCCGGGGAATCAGTCGTTAGTGTCTTTAGGCGCCCCTCCCAGTTTGCAGGGTTCTGTTCCAGCAGCCCCAGGTGGCCAGTCTGTTCGGTCAACCCCTGCGCTCAGAAAACTGCCACCTAGCTTAGGTCACATCACATCTGCACTTTTTTGGCGGTTCCTTTTTTTTTTAAATAGTCCCTGACACACCCCAGAAAGTCACATCTGCATCCTTTTTAACCGGGGGACGGACTTTTGGAGGTTTTCCTGAGAGTCTGCTTTCCCACCCTGCCCCTCACCACCCCCGCGCTCTCTGCACAGGATTTGTGTCTCTTCTATCAGCATCATCCCAGAGCTCGTCCAGCGGAACATGTATCTGCAGCATCTGAGAGTCAGGACATCAGACGCCAACGCCTCTGTCATCCAGTGCCTCTGGGCAGAGCACACGTTTCCACTTATTGCAACTTTACAGCCTCCTCGGCCTGGTGGATCAGATGGTAAAGAAACTGCCTGCAATGCAAGAGACCCAGGTTCGATCCCTGGGTCAGGAGGACCCCCTGGAGAAGGACGTGGCCACCCACTCCAGTATTCTTTCCTGCAAATCCCCAAGGACAGAGGAGCCTGGCGGGCTGCAATCCATGAGGTCACAGAGTCGGACAGGACTGAGCGACTAACACTGCCTGAGACACTTTTCACACTCTGCCTTCGTTGAAGCTGGTTGCACACAATTTTTGCCTTCTGCCCACAACTGATTAAAACTCTTAATTTAGACAGGCAGCAGCTTTCATTCACATCCGTGTACAAACTAGAACCTTTGGTAATACATGCATTCAATACCCATCTATTTCCCGCCCACAATATAGCAAGTAGGTCTCAAAGTACTCAGCCAGTGTTTGGTCAACAAGCCTTGGATCAAAATATGATATCTGAAGGTTTCCTTTGCCTCCTTTTAGCCTGCTGAAAAATAAGCCTAGACTTTTCTTTGCTTCAGCTTGCCTACCCTTCTGGTTAAATTATTTGCTATCAGACACCACTGACACCCCTCCTTTTTCTTTCAGGCAGGAAACAGCCCCCAGCATACATTAATCTGAACCCACTCCACTTCCAAATCTCAAAGAGCAGAGGGCAGAGGAAGCTGGAGAGAGGCCAGAAGGGACCAGCTTTATTCCTCCTCCTGCGTTGTGCCCCCCATGTCTAATCTTCCCCACCCTACTAGGTGATTTGAGAATTTCATCCTTTCTTCGGACTGGAAGAGGAAGCGGGGGCTGGAATTAGGTGTACATAAACTGTTGAAACGGCTTTCAGTGGACGCTGAAGGCTGAGCCAGACTATTGTGTGGATTGAGCCGCCCAAGCCTCTCGTTTGAGAACGAAGGTCTGCACGCTTTCTCTGGCACAATGCCTATCAGCAGAATCGCTGAAGCCAAGGCTCAGAAATAAATAACTGGTCTCTCCAAGCAGGGAGGCTGGTAAACAATGCAGACTCTGAGCTCTGCCAAGAGGAAGAAGCACATAAAGCAGGCAACTGCTGAATCCGATGCCAAAAGGTGGAGACTTCCACTCTAATCACTAAAGCGTTCAGAAAGCTAAATCAGACCCGAGAGCCATCAAGCTCAGGAAGAATGACAGCGGCAGAGAGATCAGGGGTTCCGATGTTCCTGCTCACAAGAGATTCCTTCAAGGACCTTCTAGATTTGTCAGATCATCAGACCCTGTCTCAGATGCTCTATCAGAACTTCTGATGCCGCACCGCAGATTTGTGACTTGATTTCACTGTCCCAGGTGATCTGATGCATGTCCACGGTGGGAAAAAAAAAAAACACTTAGTGGTTCTTTCCGGCTCATATGCCTTTTCCAGCTACTAAATGGTGACCTTCAGCTAATTTCTTCTCAACACTGGAGTGTAATTGCTTTGCAGTGTTATATTAGTCTCTGCTGTTGGATGAAGTGGATCAGCTTTATGTGTACACATATCCCCTCAACTCCTGGACCTCCCTCCCACTCCCACCCCCGCCATCCCACCCTCAGCTGAGCTCCCTATGTCTTAGAACAGGTTCCCACTAGCTGGCCATTTGTATGCATGATAGTGTGTGTGTGCGCTCAGATGTCTGACTCTCTGTGACCCCGCGGACTGCAGCCCACCAGGCCCCTCTGTCCATGGGATTCTCCAGGCAAGAATCCTGGAGTGGGTTGCCATGCCCTCCTCCAGGGGACCTTCCTGACCCAGGGACTGGACCTTCATCTCTCACATCTCCTGAATCGGCAGGCGAGTTTTCTGCCCCTGTGCCATCTGGGAAGCTCAGGAGTGTGTATATCTCAGTTTTAATCTCTTAAGCCTTGAAGCCAGTTCTCTCAGCACTAAAAAAGAGATGACAGTACCTTATCATAGATCTACATGAGGATTGAATAAAATAGTGCATATAAAGGGCCAAGCAACATGATTGTTACACAGTCATTGCTGAATAAATGCCTGTCTTATTCCTCCTGCCAGAGAGGCTCATTTCCTATTAGTTGCAGCTACCAAATGCAGGTCCACACTTCAGTCAGAAATTCTGTGCTATTTCTTCTCATCGTAAAACGTGGTTGCTGTATCAGCCATTTCCTGAAGGAGATAAAATATGACTCTATAATGAATATTACTTTTATTTGTTGAAATACTCGTAGAACGTTTGATCCCCAGGAAGTTATCATCATCAATGGTTTTACGGGTGTACAGAGAGTCATTTTTAGGTGCGGAACAAGAGAAAAGTAAATAGGAATTCTTCTCCACTGTTCAAAGACGAAGGTCCTGAGATCAAAGAGCCCGAGTGACGTGCCACGTCCCTGGAGACAGCGCCAGAGGCCGCCTTGCTGATAAGGCCGCCGCAGGTGCCGCACACCTGAGCTCCCCTCCGAAAGCCCGCCCCAGCGCCCTGCGGACAGGGAACCCTGCGGACGGCCGAGAGCTATTTTATGGCCCTAAGAGGCATCGTTTCCTTAGCGACTGAAGTCTGCACCTGTCACGCTCGCGGGTTGTTTTTTTTTCTCCTCTTTTTAAATCTGGAAACTTTCCTTTCCTTCGAGGCTCCTAAATAAGAAATTAGAATAAGTATAGAGACTTTTTTTAAAAGGTGGCTACCACCTTGTTGAACTCCGGGCCACCTCAGCTGTTAAAACAGAGAGCCTGCGGGGCTCCCTGGAGTAGGAAATCCCCGACTATCTCGGGGAGCTTGCTCAGTGACCAAAGGGGATTCTATAACTTCTCTGCACACACACACACGCAATCCAGCCTCTACCCACCTCCTTCCTCGGCTCGGGTCTTTTATCAGCCTGTTGCCTAGGCTTTGGCAATGGAACTGTAGAAAGAGCCGCCTTGCTGATAAGGCCGCCGCAGGTGCCGCACACCTGAGCTCCCCTCCGAAAGCCCGCCCCAGCGCCCTGCGGACAGGGAACCCTGCGGACAGCCCGAGAGCTATTTTATGGCCCTAAGAGGCATCGTTTCCTTAGCGACGGAAGTCTGCACCTGTCACGCTCGTGGGTTGTTTTTTTTTTTCTCCTCTTTTTAAATCTGGAAACTTTCCTTTCCTTGGAGGCTCCTAAATAAGAAATTAGAATAAGTATAGAGACTTTTTTAAAAAGGTGGCTACCACCTTGTTGAACTCTGGGCCACCTCAGCTGTTAAAACAGAGAGCCTGCGGGGCTCCCTGGAGTAGGAAATCCCCAACTATCTCGGGGAGCTTGCTCAGTGACCAAAGGGGCTTCTATAACTTCTCTGCACACACACACACGCACAGGCACACACACGCAATCCAGCCTCTACCCACCTCCTTCCTCGGCTCGGGTCTTTTATCAGCCTGTTGCCTAGGCTTTGGCAATGGAACTGTAGAAAGCCTAATCATATAAAAGCACCTAATACGTTTGCTCATAATTTCTAAAGTTTCACACCAGCTACAAGACAGTGGAACACTTTGCTTTCTGCCAGAGCTTTAACAAAGCAACTTACTGCCATCCTTTGATAAGAGTATGTTTTATAGATCATATGACTTTGTCAGTTTTTTGAAGAGTCAAGCTGTGCAGTATTCTCCCACCCCCAAGTGTTTTGTGTTTTCCTAGTAACTATTTTGTTCTGTTTTATTTTTCTATACCATCAGTTTGGTTAAAGTTGCATTCCATGATAAACATATGGCAGCTCAAAACAAGAAGAGTCTGTTTACAAGAGAGTGCTTATTCAGTGTGTTTCTTTGAATATCATAATCCATGTCTCAAAGACAATACTGAAATTTCACTGCAACCCTTATGTTCATATGGCCTACATAACTTTCCTTTTATCATAAGTTATGTTATCAAGAAAACAAAATCATTGTCTTACCACTGTGTAGGGACATATGTTGTTATTTATTTAAATACCTAACATAATAATAGTTCTATTGGCGAAAATTTTGTAAGACCATATGGGCTTCCCTGGTGGCTCAGATAGTAAAGAATCCACCTGCAATGCAGGAGACCTGGGTTCGATCCCTGGGTTGGGAAGATGCCCTGGAGGAGGGCATGGCAACCCACTCCAGTATTCTTGCCTGGGAAATCCCCACAGACAGAGGAGCCTGGTTGGCTGCAGTCCATGGGGTCGCAAAGAGTCAGATACGACTGAGCAACTAAGCACAGCGTATATGAAAATACAGGATTATCTCAAAGGAAAATGAATGAAAAATACTGATCCCCTGATTTCTCTATAAATTATCCAAAGCAGTGCTAGGCAACAGATACACAATGTAAGCCACATGGGTAATTTTTAAGTGTTCTAGTAGCCACACTTCAAA